TGAATGCGATATTCCCTACATCACTTATTTATGGGGGAAGCCATCAAAACGTCATCTTCTGAAGAGTTCTGGCTTTATTCGTTAGTTTGAGAAGAGTCAAATAAGAGCAAATGGACAAAGTACTCCGCTTTATCACAGAGGTTCGCTTTAACCCAGTCTCCCCTACACCGAAGCGTAGCGTTATTCATTCATTCGTTCCTTTGAGGTCGGAAAGGCTTTTAAGAGCATGTCTCCCACTAATACAGGCCTTCCTTGTTATAAACCATGAGCACTGCAGTCCCCTCCCTTCATTCTGGCATCATTGCCTACAGTATTACAACATGACCACGCGCATTTGCGGTCTCATGGAGTCCCGTTTTCCACCCACGGGAGGGTGGAAGCAGGAGGATCGGAATCCCTTTATGTATTCCTCGGGATCTCACCCGTGTATCGATCGGGAGAGCAAAAAATGCATATGGAGTGGGATATAACCATGCCGAAACTGTCGGAGTGATAGTACGAATTTCTTGGGATTTCTGGCAATGCTCACCTAAGCCTGCGACCTCCGAGTGACAACTTATCCATATCCATTAATCTTGATAGTTGTTACAATTGTGGTTTGAGCAGAAACCGCTGATGCCCGGAACATATATGCGTCGGTGACATGGATAGAAAGGGAACAGGAAAGTTTTTACTCCCGCTCCATACGTATAAGCACGAACGAGTGGCTTCCCTCGTACGTAACCTTCCCTCGCGTAACGTACAGTACTCTACCTGTTTAAGGATCCACCGCAAGTCTGGATGTTACGGATGGCCAAAGTGAAATTTTCAATTCTTAGGGTTTTGCAATGCCGGCTACCGGATTTCCATCAATTGAATATCGATGCATCGGCTATCAGCAAAACCTGATATCTGAAAATTTTGATATCGTTGCAGTCCTAGTCATTCTCGAGTTCAATCATGTGGACGTGTGCCGATTGCAATGAGCGCTCCTTCAACGATATTTCTTGACGAATTGTCATATCGATGACCCCCACGCGAAGTGGGCCAATCCGCAAACCAAAAGGTGCATTACAGTTTTGAAAAGAATGATACGAGTAGCTAAAAGCATACCTGCTCTGATGGGATTATCAGTTCTTCCTCGAAAAAGGAGTACCTCATAAACAGTTGGAATGAAATCACAGAGTGATTTCTGCTCATTCAGATACAACGACTACGCGTGTCGATGGTGAAAGAGTTTCTGATCCGCTGTCCCTCGCCACCGTCATCTTCTCATACTTTCAATTAGACTCGTAAGACTCTTGAAGTTCACGCGTAATACAAGTAAAAGTCTGGATTAAGAGGGGTGATCCAGGCCAATCCTATCAACGGATTTATAAGAAACCTCATTTTAAAACTTTTAATGCGGATCATGTTAAGTCACGGAAAATGGGGCAGTGAGTGCCACTGATGCTGGGTTCTATGGTTCTATGTTCACCGACAGGATTGTTTTAGTCCTGCATCCCACGTGGGCTGAAACATATCTATCGGCGAGAGTTTCATTCTCCGTGCATTTCCTGAAGAAGCTGAAACATTCGGAGTTTTGACCCATAATGATTGCCCGCGAAGCGCAGCAATATCAGCTCATCATTGAGGAAATACTGTACAGTATATCTTCAAGATAGGGATCGAGAATAATATCGTTCCAGAATTTAAAACTCCACCATCTGCGATCATCCCTCTTAATCCACACTTTTACTTGTATTACGCGTGAACTTCAAGAGTCTTACGAGTCCGATAGAAAGTGTGAGAAGATGACGGTGGCGAGGGACCGCGGATCAGAAACTCTTTCACCATCGACACGCGTAGTCGTTGTATCTGAATGAGCAGAAATCACTCTGTGATTTCATTCCAACTGTTTATGAGGTACTCCTTTTTCGAGGAAGAACTGATAATCCCTCAGAGCAGGTATGCTTTTAGCTACTCGTATCATTCTTTTTAAAACTGTAATGCACCTTTTGGTTTGCGAATTGGCCCACTTCGTGTGCGGGTCATCGATATGACAATTCGTCAAGAAATATCGTTGAGGGAGCACTTATCGCAATTGGTACCCGTCAACATGGTTGAACTCAAGAATGATTGTAGCGGATTCGTTGTAACACTGGCCCTCGACTGGGCCACACATCTTGCTGCGGGATCCTCAGAGTCAGTGACAATTACAAATTCACAAAACTTAGCGGCATACAATTGGGGAAATAAAGACACGTCTGTCGTGAATGCCTCCATTTTCGTTCGGGTGCCTGTTTGCATACGTTGAGTCTCTGTACATCGACGTGCACACCGTAGTCTCAGGAGACAGGAAAGGTATGATCGAGTTCTGCTTTGTGGTCCTCATACTACTTCCCATCCTGTCCCCGAAGAGCCCTCCTATGAATCATCATCTTGACACAAACTATGGCTCAAGGGCGGCGGAGTGGGGCTTCCGAGGTGATTGATATAGATGAGTGCACATCCATCATATTCTTGATGGAACCATATGGACATGTAGAGAGAGAGAAGAAAGTCTTCATCATATTGGGACAGAAGAGCGACACACTTGGTGTGAGACAATATTGGCGATACAAACAACCTTAGGTTGGTGTTCCCGACTTGAAAGATGTGGAGAGTGAGAGTAAAGCCAAATAACATGGAAAGGAAACGTTCACTGGTTCAAGCTCAACACAAATGACTTCGGAAGGACATGAATCATACAAGTAGGTTTAAGAGAATGAAACTCGCGTTGCTTAAAAAAAAGGCCTGCTCAGGCACACGGTGTCATTAAAGCTTACATATTGTGCTGGAAAATGAATTGGGAGACATCAGGAGAATTTACCATTCTAAGTTTAGGAGGAGCATTGGAGGATTAAGAAATGCATGAAGCCTTTCTATATAATGATTTACATTTTGATGGATAATTCATAAAGATGTTTTGGAGCATGGTCACTCCATGTAGGCGCAACCTTAAGAGAAAAGGAGCACTGGGATTGTTTATTGTGCTTTTGCGATGCTGACTGCGCTTTTAAAAGTAAAGATTCAAGAGTGAAATTTTTATAGAAACATTTCGTGAAAGAGCTGAAACTGATTCCTGGAGCTACCACGATCTCAAAACGTTGACAGGGCAGAACATGAACGCTACAACCTAGGGCATTCACACGATCTCTCCGACCAGTAACTATTAAGCAAAAGTGGTGAAAAACGGTTCTATGCTAAAAAAAAAAAAAAATGAAGGACCAGATTGGAACTCTTTCTGATGAAACTTTTATAGAACCATTTTTTTGGAACCGACCACACACGAACTGAAACTGGTTGATTACTGAAGCTACCACGATCTGAGGGCTTTGAAAAAGCAGATAATCAATGCTATGATCTGGGACACTCATAGATCACTCCCACGAGTAACTAGTATGCAAAGAGAGTGCACAAATGGTTCTAGGTATCACAAGACATAGGTTCGTGCCGAGTCCCCCCTTACGGAAGTATCAAATAAAGTAAGGGATATATTTGGACTTATTTAACTATACAGTACATACGCAAAACTTGACTGGAAGGAGTTAAGAACTTTATATTCAGACCAAAACATGATATGGATATATATGTGTCATATATGTTTTAACCCTACACTGCATGGTGTGGCAAATATGGCACGCTCTGCATTGCATTGAAACGTATTGCAACACAATGGAAAAACCAAAATGAAAGGATAATTTTCCCATTATTTTTCTCATCAGCCACATTAAAAAAATGATCTTCAAATTATTCTTGATATAGTAGGGAAAATCTCATGCATTGTAGGGTAAAATAAGGAGCCCGTGTATGGCAATATTTGATATGTATGAATTATATTTGGAACTCTTGTACTGGCCTTCCTTAATAATTCAAGAGCTACTGTTGTTAAGCGTCGTTATGTCCAATAGATTTTTATGTGGGCTTAAAACCACTTCAAATGTTTTCTCGACTTATTTTTTTACGTGTGGCATCGCGAGAATGATTAGAGAAATTAAATAGGTTGTGCATGTAAGCGGAGACGACGGCTTTCAGTGTTGAATGATATTTTGGCTGCTTCAATTATTATAAAGTTGTTTAGAGTTCGCCATCTCGATCGCATTAGCAAGAGCTAATCTCATAGAGCTTGCCGGTTTTGCATGCTGTCTGCGGCGCCTTCCTTAGTAGATAATGAATTATGCTCAATAAGGACTTGTTGGAAGGCTATATTCACTAGCTGTATTGAACGTTTGACAAGAGAGCAGCAGAGAGCATGTCAAAACATCTACTGTGAGCTTCAGAAGTAGCAGTTCAAATCGCGACAGTACCATAGATAACAAAAACGCCCACGTCGTTGTATTTTGGCTCCACTGAGCTATTCACTAATGCGGGATTTAAAGAGATTTAAAAAAAAAACTCTTATTATAATTATCTTAAACTTAATCTGCTTAAAGTGGAGACCCGACTGATCCATCAAATCACGTTGGCATTTCCCAACGATCTGGTTAGCAGCTGATCAACTGAATTTGCTTAAATCTGGGTTTCATTTCACTTCAAAATTATACCACGTAGGATAAAAGACCCAGTGATGGACCGGTCCCCAATGATGGGCCACAGCACATAAAAATTCCAATAGCTTAGCTTCCATAGCACGCCTACCCCTGTTGCGACATAGGTTACCAGCATTCAAGCACATACACACTTCAGAGGTGGTCATGGAACAAATGCCTAGTTTTTGTTTTGTTTTTGGAAATTTCCTGCGACGTGGCCCATCACCGAGTATTTGCCCCTAACAGGCCCATCATTGTGTCTTTCACCCTAGTCGTTTTCTTCTTAAGTTTTCTTCCTTTTCCTCTTCCCCACTTCATTTTACAGCTAGTCCTTTTTTTACCACTTTGTTCTAACTGGTTCGTGTTGCTCGAACATGAAAGTCTGATGTTATTCTTGAAGTTTATCAAAATACGCCCCTGGCTTTTGTGTGTTTGGCGTTTACTCTTTCGGTAAAATCATACCTAGCCGTTTCAAATTTCAGCCGTTTTGCTCTCAGTGAAACGGAAGCCACCCTGATCGAATGACTCGATGCTTCTCACCTCCGGCTGATCCTCAGAGTAAGATGCACAATCTTCGCAAATGAGCTGTTTGCATTCCATGCAGGTCCGATGGAACTCGTCTTCATCGATACTCTTGACACACACTCGGCATGAAGGACCTGCCTTCGACTTCAGGCTTCCGTTCGCATCCATGGATCTATGGAATTCGAGCAAAAAATGATTAGAGAGTATAAACCCCTGTGAAGAGAGGCAGGCATTTGACCAACCGGTCCTCGAGTTTCTCGAGTAAAGTCTGTCCGGACTCGGAAGCTTGGAAGTGAACAGGTGGAGTTGCGGAGTAGGCATCTGCACAAGCTTGCAAAGAGGAGAACTGATGATCTCCTCGCCTTAAAGTGGCTGCACTCGATAAGCCCGACGCCAACGTAGCCCTCAGTTTCGTCAACTTCCCTTCCTCACCGCCACCTATACCACCAACTCCGTCTCCTGGTGATCCTTCATTCCCCACCACCTATATCAGGCAAATGGCTCAATGCCTCACTAGAACTCAAAGATGGCCGTCGCTGATGTTTCCCATTCTCAAGTTTTCTTAAGATTTAAAGCCAAAGGCATCACTCATCAATCACAGATCACTTGCATTCTCTATAGATAGTTCCGCCAGGAGATAAGTCAAATTCTTAGGAATCTAAAGTCTGCATCTTATCCTTGGGTTGGACTTTCCACCGGTCATTCTAGAAACTGCAACCAATTCCTCTGGAATCCAGGAATTCGAGAGTACAGCATGCCCATGTCAAGATGATTTGACCTTTTGCAGAAATGTTCTCATTTGACTCTGTGGTGTATCAATATCAGGGCTGTACATGACGTGCCTGTGTCACAGAATTTCGGGATTTAGGTGAAGTTCCAGCAACGTTCCTGGATTCGATGAGTGACGCACAGCATATCTTGACTCCTAGCGCGGAGTCGAAAGTAAAACAAATATTTGGGTGCTTGGTTATGTGGCCCCAGGTCTCAGTCCTTGACTGAGTCGGGCAAGAATATTAGCAAAACCTTTGTGGCAAATTTTCTTTCTCCAACTTGTATCCGGTCATCCAGCGACATTCACCTTTCCCTCCCTCCCCCTCCCCATAGACCCTATGTATAACGAGCCGTTGATTAACCCAGCTATTCAATTACTAATCCGCACCTTCCAAAAAAGGGTCTGGAGCTAGAGGCAGGGAGTGGGAGGTGGGTGAGACATGCGCAAGGGACGCTCGGCCACAACTCTCCCAAACTCCAGCTGCATGTGTCTGCAGGTCACCTCCTCAGTCGTGCTCAGAAAGCGAGCAAGGGAGACTTCGTTTCAGAAAGCAAAAGTGCAACATGTCATCAGGTATATTCACGCTCTGTCGTGCAGTGGCCACCGTCTTTGAAGCGTTAGGGACGCTGTGAAGCTGCTGAGCCATTTGATGGCTCATTTTATATCTCTCCATCTCTCCAATGACTGACAAAACCGAAATGAAACATTCACGTACTCCTGCATCCAAAGAATGGGGGAAATAACCAATAAATTGAAAAATTACCTGAGCTAAGAGCCAAGCGACATCAATAGTGCCAATAACTTAATATGATCTGGATTCTGACTCTTGAGTAGATTTTCTCAAACTCTCAGGTACACAAGAGTACCAGCGCAGACACATGCGTATCTAATGACAGCTCGAACGTGGAAAGCAACCAAACTAGGGCTAGAGAAGCCAGACGTGCGACCGTGAGTTTTTCTACCCAGCACTGTCGATCAAGAGCAAGTCATCATACGTTCTGTTCAGCCTCTGGTTATCGAAAAGATGTCCACCTGCCGATTGGTGTGAGAGCGAGGTCCATTTTAGTCATTCAACTCTCCCCCCCCCCCTCATGTAATCCTCACATCTCTCCATCACATGCTCGACACAGGGACACTCCACGTCGAAAAGATCAAAATTTGGGAAAAGTATGCATGAACATCTCGATGAAAATATTCTTAGAAAATCATGCTAAAAGGAGTCCAGCATTATACAGTACTTCAAAACCGCCGTTCAAAAAGTTATTAATATTGCAAGAAGATTTTTGGTATTCACGTTGAAGTTGTACAGCTGAGCGTATGGAAATCATGAATGGGATGCCCATGCCCCCTGAGAGACTCTCTGAAAGAGCCCTTCGGTCTATGATGACCGTCCGAAGACCAGTTTGCAGACCTTGCACAAGATGGAACGACAATGTCGCAAAGCTATGCCACTCGAGCAATGTCACCTGCTGATCTTGAATCCGTCGCCCAGGATTGAGAACATAGGAAGACGCATTGAGCTTGCTACAATTGCGACTCATTAAGTTGAAATAGATGGTCACGAAAATCCATGAAGGTATGTAATTAAGGCCCACTTGAGACGAACAACGCTTGAAAGTACATTCAAAGCTTTCAAAATAAGCATAGCTTAGAATTACATTTTTTTAAATACATGTTCAGATGTATGTGCAAGGGTCTCAAGCAATGCCAATCTTCAAAAATGTCACTTTTAATAAAACTGTGTGGAATTCAGTGAAGCATATTACATGACATACTTGTAGGTCGCACACGAGTTATCTATTACTTCGTACACAAGTTCTAAAATATGGCAAACTTTTAAAATGTACGCAATATTAAAATTTTCGTACAAATTAATTAACTTTACATATGGTTAAGGAGTCATGTTCATACAACCGATAGTTTATTAGCTTTGAAGAGTATAATGAACCTCCTATTGAGCCTTTCGAGGAGTTGATTTTAGACCACTAAGGAGGGGAGAAGGAGGGGGGGGGGGCTAGAATTTTTCATGAAGATTTCGAAGTAACAGGATGGACCCCTGTTACCATGGTTTTCTTTCAATTTATTCCGAGATGGTCGAGCATACCTCTTTGTCGTTTATATGTGGGATGTCAATAATAGTCTCTGACAGGGAAGAATGGCCAAAAGAGCTGAGTAGCTCTTGAACTCATCGATCCGGCACCTATCTCGTTCACTCTTCGTCAAACGCTGTGTAATTTCCTGTGAATGACGTGTGCATTTTTGTCATGCCTTTGGCTATATGAAGCGTTGGTAAGGAGTTCGTTTGTGACGTATCGCTCGTCCGAAGCTGCTTTCTATGGAGACAATTTCCAAATCACGAGACATTTCTTTCATTTTCGATACCAAGGTAGAACCTGAGAAATTTGTTGTGGAAAACTCAATGACAAGGCGAGAAAAATCCAGATCAGAAAAACGTCACTTATAAATAAGATAGAAGACTGACTTTTTGTCGCTTCCCCCAGTACGATTGGCGATTATGGAACTTTCCCTAAATCGACTTGTTGCAGAGAGCATACGACCATAACCCGAAATTGTACGGAATGGCTCGTGTTGGTGCAGACACAATCACGTCACCGTAGTAAACGAGGACCTACATCTCCGTCTTCCCACTATGGTATTCGAAAGATACTTAAGACTCACCTTTTTCATGAAAGAGACAACAGGAATCATCTTCTCTCTCTCTCTCTTGTCGCTGCTCACGAATATGGAATATATCAGGTACCCTGCGAAAAAGGAAGGACCGTTCCAACATGTAATACGCAATTCAGTTCAATCTAGTTTATTCACCGCACGTCAAGGTACTTCAAGATACTAATATAACATCCTAATTCAAAGTAAAACTGAGCGGTGGGGTATCCCTGGCTGGGAAAGAGAAAATCGCCAGGAATCCTGAACTCCATTCGAGGCAGAGCTACACGTGGCCCCCCCCCCCCCCCCCCCCCCCTTCTGTTTGAATTCGTGTCCTGGCAAGAAGGGGAATGAGACAGGGTCATAGGGAATGTGTGCGATGGGAGCCAAGAAGAGCCGGACAGCCTTGGGACTCGGTATCTGTTCGGGCAAACGCCTTTTTTCCTTGCCTTCACCTCTCAATTTTTTTGTGGAAAGGCGTAATACGATGGTATTATTGCATGCATCCCTATAGAGAGTGAGAGGCAATCCTTGGGATTTAATTTTCCACATAATCGTTAAGACACTAGTACCAACTGTGGACAAGATTGCGTGTGACAGTGGCATAGAATGATGTGGTCTAGCGCCAAAGCCATTATTAGTCTTACATTAATGGCTTTGTTGTCAGGCAACATCGTTCAATCCATCAGCAACTGCATGCTTGTACTCAAATGGGACGAGTGTTATCATGTACATGCCCATTCTGTTGAAAGCATGCTGACAAATACAACAGAGTAAACGAAGAAAAAGAAAAAGGCTTAATGTTTTTGGCTGGGAAGGGTCAATAGCAATATGTTTTCAGGAAGTAGGACAATTTATATTGGCCCATTTCTGCAGGCGCTAGGTACGAAAAAGTAGAGAGAGGGAGCAGGAGCCCCTTATCTATAATAACATACATAGGGTGAATTAAAAGTCCGTTGCCATGGGAATAACTCCGCAACGGTTGATCTCAGGGGGAAATATGCTATGAGTAAAGGTGATAGCTTGTGTAGGACAAGTCGAAGTACAGCGGTCAGTTTGACTTCGAAGGTCTCAATCGAGTTGGGGAATGTGAATATTTGAAAGAAAGAGCAATTCAATCGGGTCAATACACAGGTTGTGGGGAATCACGGACGGATGTCGTTTGTAACAGAAACATTCATGACTAACGTTAACGTGACAGTCAGTAACATGCGCTCTCTCCCTGTTCGACTCTTTCCGCTGCATGGTACTCATGTTTCACAGAGACGTTAAAACGTCAATGAAAAATATCGTGAGAATGCGACTTATCACTTTAGGGTCTTGAGTTGGGGTCGGTTCTGCTATAACCTCGCAATTTTAATTCATCTGGAATGAGACGGGCCCAAAGCGGCCCAAAGTAGTACCGAGCTACAGAGCCAAAGTAGATTGATCCCCTTTTATCGTCCTGCAACAGCAGTGTTGATATGTTATGGAAGCACGGTATCGCGACCTTAATGCGAAAAACCACAAGTCTTCTCGACGTAAACACAACACTCGTTGGCCTTCAATGAATGCGCTCAAGTGGTTTCCCATCGGAACTCCTGCACTGCTGAATTCAGTCAGGAATGGAGGAAGACATGTTACTACAATTGAACGGAAAAGTTTCGCATTGGGCAGCTCTTGCTTCTCGTGGCTGAAGGACTGTGTGGTTTGGCTAAGTGGATCTTCTGTTTGACTCCTTCAGTAGAAGACTTATTTCCTCCTTTAGTGCCCCACAGAACATGTTTTTCATGAAAAGTGCACGGAACTGTTCCGGGACATGTAGTTATGGCACCGTTGTGATATCCTGGAAGTTTTCCTGGACGGCCACTGAAGGGGTTAAAGATCAATAAGGGTGAGATCGGGGGAATTACCCTACCTCCCGATTCAGTCGCGCCCATCGCGTGAAAATTTTTTCCATTATTTTGCATTCAATCTAGCAGTGCTCATTTTCGAAGGAGCACTTTGGGCTACCCTGCATCATGCTTATTGAGAAATTTTATAATTCAATTAATGACCAATTTCTCGAGTACTTTTGATTGTGAGGGTGGGTAAACAAACAGCTTTAATGTCTAGCTCGGTGGACATGTCTTTCGTATTTACTGCAAACAAGACAACCCATTTTTAGTGCATCAGGAACGGTTCCTGCGGTCATGCAAAGATTAGCTGAATAAACGGTAGGTAACGATAAGAATGAAGGGAAAAGCCAGTTTTTAACAATTTCACTGTGATTTTGTCGATGCGTGGGTTCTTACTGGCCTCAAGTGATGTTATTTGTTTAACCATTTCCCTCACCGTGTGGCATAAAGAACACAGGGGCTGAAAAAAATTTCTTAACTATTTTGCACATTTCACAAATGAATTCATTGATAAGGCACTTCTTCCGAAGTGGATGATCCATCCAGACATTATCCATTCACTTTGGCAATCGATTTTTGTCTAATTACAGCTGACATCGTTACAATATTGAAGTTCGAGGTTGATTTGCATACTGGGTGAGATGATGAACTTTTTAATGCAAAAGAAAGGAGGAAAAAGAGGCTGGAAGTAATCTGTGAGCGAAAGGGTTCACATTCTCTTTCATCATTTCTGTCTTGAATAGAGTGCGTCCAATCCAAAGGAGGTCTCATCTTCGCTAAAGGAAGGCAAATGGCTTTATGGGCTGAGGGAAGCCTCGTAAAAGCATCGGCGAAATGATCCTCAATGGTATCCTCAATATCTGACGCTCTTGGGTGAGCTGATGACCATTTGCAATCAAGCATGGAACGTCTATCTTGGCCTCTGCCAAAGACGGCAGTAACTTTCCTATTCAGAAGTAAATTGCTCCACGTTTGTCTACAGCACCGAGGTCATTGTGGAGATCCATCGATTTTGCCGATTTTAGGATCCGACGAAGAACGGCACAGTGCCACCGGTATTAAGGTTTGAAAGCGAAGGGTGGGTTCTTGTACTCCCTTTTAGCTGCTAACGGGCTTTTAGTCCTATGCTGGCAATGGACCTAAAAGGTCCTTTAGGGCTAAAAGGGAGTAAAAGAACCCAGCCCTAGTCTTCTGGATTTTTTTGCGAAGCACGAACCCGATCCTCCTAATCGAGTGCACATGATATGGAAAGAAAGATTTTGAGTCACTGCATGTCATGACCACTTACATCAAATCGTATCAAATTACGCGTGCATGTTGCTCGCCTTCTTTCGCTTCAACTTCGAGGAATTTTCTTAAAATCACTCCCTACGAGTCGAAGTTCTGACCAATGCCCTGGAGCAAGGATGGTTTCGAAAATGAACAGAAGCTCCTGAAAATTTCTAAATAATGGTTGAATCTGTCAGCTTTTATTTTGGAAACAAGTAGTGCAGGGCAACGTAAGTGAAGAAATAAAAGTTTCAAAAGCTAATAAGTGGTCCAAAAATGACTGAGCACAGGATGAAACCAGCTTTGGAGAGCTATGCAGTCTTCGAAAGGCCACCCACGCATCAACAATCCCAGTGCAGTGTCGCAGCGGAACTTCCCCTTCAAAGAGTTGTCCGTTTTAATTTCCGACTTTTGCAGAATATTGACAATGACTGGTATGAATTACCGGCTTTTGAGCAACTTTTCAGAATGTAAAAAGCTGCAATCTCGCCAAATTCAATTAGATTTGATTCCGGGAAAATAGTTACTCAAAATCGTTAAGTCCTTTTTGCCATATTCTATATATTTCCCTGTATACATGTAAGTATTCTTCAACTGAAAACTCAGCTGGTGTTCGATATTAAACGACTCAGTACCCTATTTTCATGGATAGGTCAAATAGCAAATGGATGAGTGTATAGTTACATTATTCGGGAAAGCAGGTTTCAATAGTGCCGATATTTATTAAGTCAAAATTAAAATCTATAATAATAATAAAATATACAGAAGAGGGCCCGATTCCCTTTAATAGTTTTTCAATCGATGCCCTTGGTTTAAACTTTGGGAAATAGGAACTAGTTAAACCAGTTGAAGTGTTAACAGGTCGTAGGCGACCGTTGTCCACTGCGTAAACCTTCCTTGCCTGCCCTACCCTTGTTCGCTCTCGCATGCTTAGATATTGGTTCGTGTGGCTACCTCTGTCCTCTGGCAGCGTGCACTATTCATGGGTATATTCGGTAATGCACGAGGGTAGTTTGACAATGAGTGAGAATCTCAAGTACGCGCTAAAGTGCGGCAAGGTGACTCCTTTGAAATCCTGTCCTTACTGAGATTCTCACTGTGTCAAACTACCCTCATACGTACACACGTTGTAGAAGTACAACATCAGTATGCTTCGGCGTCAGAGGACTTTTTCGCAATTGTGCCTCAACGTGTTAAGGTTTGTTGCGTACCTACAGCTTTTGAAAGAACGGAATCGATACTGCGATTTGTCCCTTAGGTTAATCAGGGCAGGTATATCGAAATCGTAGGATTGTATTTATATGGTAGCTCGATGCGAGAAGCGCAAGTATAGAGGCGTCGTTACGAACGAGTCGGTCGCAAAGAAGAGACAGTAGATGGAACGTGGTTCTTCGCCGAAATTGGAGCCAGTTAATAGAGCTTTATTTCCTTTCTACAGCAGGGCCCATTCGAACGGAAATGATGAATTATAAAGGGCGATGGGTAAACGGACTCGAAGGCCGTCAGAGACACGCGGGGTGATTATTTCTTTAGACGTATCCCCGTAAAACATATTAGACGGAGAATGGAGGTTCCCGGAAGGACTCCTCTATTCAAATTTCCGAGTCTTTTATTCCAGCCGAGGCGGCGTGGAGGAGAAAGGGAGAAGAGAAAACGCCTCCCATTCGGCCTCATTCCATTTCCCATTTCCATGCCGAGTTCAGATATCGATCTTTATGAGCTCCTGTGCAGATGAAAATTCCTATTTTCACCATCGCCAGGAGATTTTATCACAAATCGAAAGGAAAGACGAATAATAAATATAGGTTTCCGCGCGTGTCACGAATTTCCATGGCACTAGTACCCTCGTGCTCGCTATTTGAGAGAGTATTACTTGCGCTTGAAAGTTCCTCATTCACCGTTTCAATGCAATCATGATGTCGGTGGAGTGTGGGCGGCATGCTCAATCGTGCGAGAGCCCTACTTCATCTGGGAGCAATTTCACGGTGCGTCTTCAGCACGAAAGAGTTTCAATGGCCAAACGATATTGCTAATTTTGAGCGAATTTTGGGGGCACCATTTTTCTTACTGATTTCTTAACGTCGACTGAAAAGAAATCAATATTTTTGCTAGATTATATCGCCTTATTCTATTTGCGCCCGGCAATCCTGCACCGCTGGCTGCGCTCTAGGACAACCCCAGGAACGCCACAAAGAAAATACATGGTCCAAAAGTCGGTTTGGCTACTCGGAGATTTGTCTCTGTGTCCATGGGCTGTAAGACCTTGAATCTTGGTGAGCAGTTGATCCTTTCTCTGACAGGGATATCGGAACGTTTCGAGAATGTCACGTGATATTACACCGACGCCAGTGAAAGAGTTAAGATCCCATGGGGAGAAGGAATATGGATCCATCCCCTTTTCCTCTAGTTATTGGACAAATGATAGCATCTTTCCAACAGTATGAGAATGTTTCACTGCTACAAATTGCATTGATGAGACAAATACCTGAATCAGCAAATACATGAACGAAGGTTCCGTAATTCTTTATAGGCCTTGTGTATCTCTACCTTTCGTGCGCATATTCCCGTACATGTCCTCTGTAAGTGCTTTTGTGCTTTTTTCGTTGAAAAGAGCAGAAAGACGTACAGCATCCCTTTAACAAATTATGCAGAGTGGGCCAAAAAATAGCACACTTTTTTCATTTGGTTGTTATTTCCGTATCAATTCAAAAGAAACTCAATAATTCAACATGAAAGAAAAATAGTCCTCTTTCTCGATCGAATGAAGTTATTTTAAGGAAACATGAAAAATAGTTACATTAGTTAGTTAGTTGCTCGCGCATAATTTACTTTCACATGCAAAGGATGAACACACTTAATTTCTCATTTTGTCGATGAAGTAGTCTTTAGAAGGTTAGATGCAAGGACCATGAATGAAGTTCGGATCTAGATTATCAAGAATTATCGTAAGCGATGATCAATTTGTCCCCCTTTTTCGGCAATCGCTATCAGTCTAGCTCGCCAGAGTTCGATTTGCCTTTTTCTGCTACGTTCATCGTGTAATGACTCCAATGTTTCTAGGGAGTTACGATTTGCTCACAAAGGTGTCGGATTTCACTGATTTTTCCACGTTAGTCTAGCAAAGTGCTACAAATCTTGTACAAAACATAGAATCCATTGAACCTGATTGGTCGCCTCCTTTCGGAGGCGACCAATCAGGTTCGATGGATTCACTGTCCCGCAGGAAGAGTAAGGAGCTATCTGAGCGATGAGATAGTGCGCCGCTTCTTTGCAAGGTGCAAGCGTCACTCTTCGATCCGAGGCAGCATATTTGTCAGATTAAAGCTCAGAATAGATTTTTAATTTGCTAAGATGGAACATGCACTTGGCAGGGGCATCAACTGATTGCAATCCACGCATAGACGCCTCTCCACGGTCTACAGTAGTTGTGGAGTCCCTAGGGATAGCTCACGGGGCGCCCATACCGTTGACTGACTCGTGTGAATTTAAGATATATTGCACTCGTGACTCCAAGGCGTAGCGCACAGATTGGCGTGCGTGTCACCTGAATGCCAAGTAGATGTTTCCCAAAGAGCGGGAGGGCTGCTTATAGGCGGAGAAGAATCGAATAGAATCCATCACTGCCCCGACTCCATCTGCCTCGAGCCCGAACCGCACGACAATCGGACCCGATCTATATATCGTTCTCAAGGAAAATGACATTCAATTGTCCCAGTTTGGACGCTCCCGCCGGCATCACAACAGACGAATTGAATCGTTCTGTCTCCTATAACAGACGCTTTGCGGCAACCTGATATTTTGGTGACGTTGGGATACTTTCGGTCGTTCTAACTATTGTTGGGAGGGCCGCACTGTAAGCAGCCTTTCGTCCATGAAACAAAACTTGCGCATAGATTAAGATTTGCGGTAAGATTTCTTCCTGGAACCTCGAAGAAAGCGCTTGCTCTGTTCAAACCACTTCACCTTTATGATCGACGATGATTGCACCAATCCTCAATCAAGAACGATAGGCATTGCCATATCTGGGAGTTCTTTTAGGAATTCTACCGTTCTATCCAGCTACCTTAGATACCATGGGTTTTTTATTTTGGTGATTTTTCTTTTGCCAGGAGGGCGATGACAAATATATTAGGAAATATTAGTACTTTGATCCTGACCTATTTCGTTACCGCTGACG